TAAAAATATCAGAATTACGTGTTTTCCCTAATGCACTTTTTTCGTGTAACAGATTAATATTAATATTAATATTGTTTGCATATGTACGTACATATTATGAAAGATTTTGCATTGTATGTGATCTAAATTTAGTAATTAAGTGTTTTAATTAATTAATTTGAGGACCCGTTGTATTTTGAAAACGAATGGATGTAATTTTTAAAACGTTGTATTATACAAAAAAAAAATTAGTTCCGTTAAATTTAAAATTAACACCTTACATTGAACCTATACCAAAGCGCAAGTAGACAGCCGAATGAAATGTCTCAGGGGAAGCTACAACATCGCGAGTGACTCTTTTTGTGTTTCGTTAATATACTTTAAAAGTATATTACAGGTTCTGCTTACATCTTTGTCAATGGTGTGATTGTAAAATGCACATCTAAAGGTCTTTGAGGACCCAGGTTTTGTTTGATGCATTCACATTTTATTGGTGCATTCACGAATGCAAATTGTCACCTTGCACCAAGGATATTCGGGGATTTATGGAGCAAATATCGGCAAAAACGGATATGTGATCAGGTCAACATTTGCTTCGCAGATTTAGATTAACCATCTTCGTTTTTGACCATATTTTGTGTTTTAAACTTTAGAGAGTAATGGTGGTTTTCGTGCAAATTTTCGATGACGTTCATCCACAAGATTACGAATTTTCTTGTGGATCCGTAGCATGCATTCATACGCATCAACGGTGCTTATATATTTACGCTTATATAATATGATCTTGATTCTATCATAATGCAAGCATAAGTTATATATCTACTCTTCTTTATTCTATAACTTCGCGCTCGGGTTATATCCAGTAATGAAGGTTCTCATTTTTGGATCAAGAGAAATGATGCCAGCACTTCTATTCTCTTTAACCATCGAAAATTTAAGACCTTAGTTACCGGTAGAAAGAAATGGAATCCACAAAGATTTCACATAGTGAAAGCATTGTACATAACAACCGTTTTTACAATATTTTATTAATATTTGTAAAACCATTGTTAAAAATATTGTAAAAACGGTTGTTATATTCATTACATGAAATCTTTGTGGATCCATTTTTTCTACCAGGGATACATGGATTCATCAAGATGATTCATGGTGAGATGACTGTCATTTATTTCTCACTTGAAAGTGATTATTATTCATTTATCAAAGGTATTAAAGCCTTTCTTCAATCTGCTGATCCAATAACAATCGATTGTAATTTTTTTGCAAACAATATATCTCTGGTGTGATACTTATCCGCCATATTACGGCATGTACAATGAGTGATTATTTTAATTTGTCATTACATTTGCGTACTTGGAATGATATGATAATTGAACCTTTCTTTAGGGGAAAGATCCACGCGTAATTAACTTAATTTTTACATATATATACAATATCATCAGATAATTAAATAATTACTAATTAATGACTATTGATTGGTATAATATGTGGTGGCGATAAAATATAGTGTATATATGTTATTATTATAAGTATTAAAATGGATATTTACTTAATAATGACAATAATAATGTATGTTAATATTTGTTATTACTAAACACACACACACATATGCTTCTTCTTGGTAGATGCCGAGGATAAATAAAAAACAAAAACATAAGATAGGTTAAATATAGAAATATAAGAAATATTACAAAATGATCTAAACTAACTTGCCAGAATATAGCATTCATTCATCAAAAAATTTACTAACAAATTAACCAACCAACCAATCACTTATCCATCCATCCGTCCGTCCGTCCGTCCGTCCATCCATCTATCCATCCCATCCCATCCATTCATTCATTCATCCATTCATTCATTCAAGTTTTATTAGTTTGTCGATTTAAGGTTAATTAATCAATACATCCATGTACTAATTCACTATAACTCACTCTTTCATTATCATTAACTTAATAATAATACCAGGATTTTTTGTTTGTATTCGCTATCAAAAATTACTTTATGGCTTTATTCAAACTTCATTTTTTAACTACATTATTACCATATATAGAATGATAATATTTAATTGTATTTAATTATGCTATGTATGTCTGTACAATGAACAATTATTATATATATAAAATCCCTGTTTTTAAAGTAAATTCAAATTCAATTCAATTAGCATTTATTTATTGCATAAATTTAAATAATTGTATCAATCAATACATACACATAGTATAATATATGCACATACATACAGTATATATGCAATTGCTTAGCGCGAAACACACATTTTCCCAAATTATATTTTCAAATTTCCCACAATTAGTTAAAAAAAGTTTTCAGAATTCTTTTATTATTATTACTATTATTATTATTTCAAAAAAATTTTTCGAGGAAATAAATAACTACATTAATCTTCGCCAAGAAAAATTAATGTTTGTGGCTAAATGATTTTCAAGTTTTTTTTTACTATTTTTTTTACCTGAATCAGGTATATTTAAAACCATGAAGCATATCTATCGGACCCGTCCCAGATTAATTTGAAAAATTATTTTTTTGCTTTTTCCTTTCTCTTCCCGCTATATATATATATATATATATATTGAATCAATTAAAAATAAACGCCAATAAAATCTCAATCACTTACTTAAGCTATCTATGATTATATGATTTTGTTCCTTTCTAAATCTTGATTCAATGAAAGATAAGGGTCATTTTCTTTGAATGACAACCTATTACATGATTAACAACTCTTCTTGAATAGGAATTTGATTGTGTTGATGTTTGAATTGACTCATGACTTCATTATTACAAAATAAATATAATGGAATAGTAATAATAAGTGACATTTCTTCTTTGATCTACTATTATCATATACAATTCTTCTAATATTTTACTTGCCATTGAGTTTTTTTTTTGTAGTGCGAGTATTCTTTAGATATTTTAGTTTAATGAATGAATGAACTTTTATAATAAAAATAAACTTTTTTCCTTAAAGGGTAAGTATGGAAGGATAACCCTCAACAAAAAATATAACTTCACATATTAATATATTTTTCATTAGCTTAGAGTTGTTAGTCGAAATGTTTTGAACTTTGTCGAAACATTTCGTCATCCAACATTTAGGCATGCATGTCGAAAGTCTAAATTGATGTCGAAAGTATAAAGTGATGTCGAAAGTCTAAAGTGATGTCAAAAGCCTAAATTAATGTCAAAAGTCTAAATTGATTGATCATATCAAAAGTCCAAATTGATGTTGAAAGACTAAATAATGTCAAAGTGCCTAAATGTTATTGAAAAAAATGCCTAAATGTTGTCAAAATGCTTTAAATTAATCATAATTTACTAATATAAATTCTTACAAATTACAATAAAATCTATTCCCTTATAGCAATCTCGGGAATGATTCGCAAAAAAAATCACAAACTTTATATTTTTCTATGATAAAGATTGAATTGAATGTTGGAAGAAAAAATCAAATTTCCTTGGAGATCGCGTGTTACGGTGAAGTTACATTGTATCAATGATAGAAAAGATGAATGATATTGATATTTTCAGTGTATATACAATTAATCAGCATTATTTTATTATTATTAAAAAGTTGGCACCATTCTCAAATTTACTAATATTATTGGTGGTGCAAATAATCAGTTTTATACATTAATAATTAATTTAGAAAAAAATATTTAGACTTTCAACATCAATTTAGACTTTCGACATTTCAACATGTTTCGACATTACGGCAATTCAAGTGACCTTGTCGAATATATTTCGACAGTCAAAATGCCTAAATGTTTGTCGAAACTATACCTTTCGACTAACAACTCTACATTAGCTTTGAAATTATTCTTAGTAATAAAGAAACCAGGCTTTAGATTGATTTCTGCAAAGTAGTCTTGATAAAAAATCAAGAGAAAAATACCCGTCGCTCATATACTGTGAGGCTTCGACATTAGTTATTGGCCCAGAATAACGAGAACTCGTAACGAATCTATATAAAAAAACCATTTTACTTTATTGATTTCGGCTTTCGGTTTTATTATTTAAATATTAGTATTATAATAACAATGTTTTGAAGTAGGCGTAATACAAAATCACACCATTTTTACTATTACATTCAATAATAGCAAGGGATAGTGGAGACCCTTACTGTGTATACCCTGGCTTTATATGTTGTTACTTGTATTGTACGTCTCTGAAAATAAAATATTAATACCTAACAAAGATTAAAAAAAAGAATCACTCACGTTTATTTTATTATATACAATATATTGCAGTGAAAACCTTCTACGAATACTGCAAAATTGATTCTATTTCATTTTTTGGGAAGTTATCTGAAGGACGCTGTTTCATGAACCTAGGTTTTGTAAAGATATAAAGAATCTTCCATTGAAATAGGAAAAGTTTACTTCTGTGCCACGAAAAAATCAAATTAATCAATGCATGAATCTGTCTGCAATGAATTCATCAAAAAAAAAAGATATATGAATGCATGCATACATGCTCTTTAACAAGGATAACGAAAATAAACAAAGCTTTATTTCTGTTAGGATTCTTCAATGATTTATATATGAAAATTACAAATTATGCAATCAATAATCAAGTGAAATGAACAAAAACATTAAATTTCTAAATGTCCATTTTCTAAACGGTATTTAATCAAATCTTCAATTGCAATTAATTTCAAGTCACGCTCATCAGCAAATAAATGACAATCATCACGATATGCCATTGATCCATCATAAATAACACCAACAGGCTGTAGTCAAGCTAATTTACATAATCTAAATATTGAAAAGAGTTAGGTTGATGGAAGAGAGAGTGAGAGTTTCAGAAATTTACCTGTTGATGCTTCAGTGTGTCGTATCCTTTTTAAGACGCCGTCTAATGCATATCTTAATGAAAATATATGACCGGGTCTATTAGAATCATTAATATTTGTTATATTAGGGTTTGCTAAATGTCTAGCAGTTAAAGCTCTATCGCGTGCAGATATATCTGTTGTAATGACCATTATGATATGGTTATGATTATATTACTTTGATGGATTAATTTTTCAGTATTACTATTAGGCACCATCAATAGTATTTCAAGTTGATCTAATCTTTCAGGTGAATTTGGTACACATATTAATCCAATATTTAATAATAATATATTAATGTTAATATATTAATATATATTTATTGCTTTGTATATTTAATCATAAATGCCATTTCTTCAGTTGCAATTATTAAATCACCTTCATTTTCGCGTTCTTCATTATCAACTACTAAAACAAATTTTCCTTCAGCTAATAACATGTTTATTAATTTGGGCAAATCAAATTTGATAAAAAATTTTAATTTTTTACCAAAATATTCAATGCTATCAAAATGGTAGGTAGAAGATAATTGGGCGCTTTTTACCTCATCTGACCAAATTTGTGTTATTTACATAATCTATAGCATAAAGACTATAATTGGCAAAAATATTGGACCGATTTGCTTAATAAAAGATGGAGAATTGTAGGCCGGATGCTTTTTTAATTTGCGCGTGATCTACAAAAAAAGTCCTTTCTTTTTTTTTCTCTCTCTCTTTTTGTTGCTTTTTCGCCTTCATTAATTGATTTACATTATTATAAAAAATTGGATATTATAAATATACATATTAAAATAATAATAAATAACATATTAAAATTAATAAGTAGTAAGTAGGTTCTGGACAAAGAATATCTTTAAATGTATCTTCTACAATGCTGATAAATTTTTGTATACAAATACCTTTTTCTATCATCTGTCAATGGAACTATCTCAAGAATATCCAATTGGCCATCTTTATTAAAATCATCATTCTTTAGAAGTTCAAAGGAATTCTTAGTCACCAGAATTTTTAGCAATGTAAACTTTTCCAATATCATTTCTACTAAAATGAAAATGATGGTATTAAAACTATTTTTAAAGTCATACCATCTCCAACCAAACTCACCTTTATATCTAATAGATTCATTATTATGTTTTGTTGTTGAATCATTTATAGTGACAAGTAGTAAATTCCAGTTACCAGTCGCAGGACATTGCGAATCTATAGGGGGTCAAGTGTCACTCACTAATAAAAATTTTTTGATCAATACGGAATTTTATATGAAAAAATGAAGAAAAAATCACGCTTTCATACACAAACTTGCCTGATTTAATCAAATTGTTACTTGAATCATAAAAAATAACAAATATATGAAAAAACCTTTATTTTGATGTATTTTTTGCTAGGGTAAACAAATACCACTAAGCGATAATCTTAACATGAAGTTGGACTACCAGTTTTATAAGTTCTATAATACTTTTAATATCAAAATTTTTTTTGCGTGCTTCATTGTTTATTGTACAAGAAAATTTTTTAATAAATTTACCTCGAAAAAACACATGAGATTAAAATTTTTTACCTCTTTTTTACATACGACCTTTTTTATTTTTACCTATGATTTTCCTATGACTTACCTTTTAAAAAGACCACTTTTTTTGCACATGACATCAATTATGATTGTCCGTGGTCCTTGTCCAATCAAATCAAAAAATTTTGCCGATTATTCTAAATTTATCCTATATTTATTTTTATTTATGTTAATGATTTTCAATATACATGATTAACACAAATAAAAGATTGAATGCTCGTCGTGTCACTATTGCTTGCCAAAACTCGTAATTTTTTTTGCTGATTTTTGAAATCGTTTCCATACTTCAACCAGATCTGCAGTTTTTTCTTATTCTGGCATATTAGAGTCGTACGGCAAAGGTTTAATTTCTTATAACTTGCAGAGAAGAGAAGAGAAGAGAGAAGAGAAGAGAAGAGAGGGAGGAGGGAGAGTAGTTCATTTATATAGGTGATTTGTGATCTGTGAAAACCTGTTTACTTTTTTCCATAGCCACAAATTAATTTTAAAATTTGAATAAATAATTAACACGTATTAGAATGTCAAGAATTTCACATGTATCTAATTATTATTATTATCTATTTCTTTGTGTACTCATCAAAAACATCAAGAATCATCGGATAAGAAAAACCAAAATTACAATTTTTTTAATTGGCCGGAAATTACTTAACAACTAACTTTTAAACTAATTGTTGTGAAAATTGACAATAAAACATGATTTTGGACCTTCTGAGCATTTTTTTTTATGGCAAGAAAACATGTTTTTGCATTGGTTTTTAATGAAAAGTTCAACAATTTTAAGTTCCAACCAACAAATGCACCTCAATTTGAGATCTACACTTATCCATTGATTCTTGATTCAGGTGCATGAGATCATGGCTGTGAACCATTATCTGATCAATCAACGTGTTTGTTATGAAATCATTGGTAAACATTCAATGTGTTCTAATTTGTTAAGAACATGTACATATGCAACTACGTGTTTATTTTTACGCCATACATCTTTCTTTTTTTTATGCTGTGTGGATATGTTTATTGTCATGTTATCCATGCTGCAATGTTAACATGTGTTCCTTCGCCCATCATTGATTGTTGTTGCTGTCAATCAACGTGTTCGAAATTGTTAAGAACATGTACTTATGCAACTATGTGTTTATTTTTACACCTTTTGTCTTTCTTTTTTTTTTTCACATGTGGATGCATTTATTGTCATGTCTACATTAACATATGTTTCTTGTGCTGCCATTCATTGAATTACTGATTTTTACGATTTGGTTAGTGAAGAAAGGTTGTATAAAAAGGTTAAGCAAATGAACTACTAGATGCAAAGAAAATATTTGATACTCACGAAATAATTTAAATCATATTTAAAAAAAAATAAAAAATAAAACTCATAAATAATTATGCCTTCCATTTTATCTACAATCGCATTTGTAAAGTCTGCGAGTGTATCTAATGTTTTGAATGGTGTGGCAACTTCAAGACTTGAAAATGATGATTTTTTGGACTTTACATTCAGGGCCTTTAATTCCAACAAAGACATCATGATCCAGGATATACAAAAGGATTCTTTTATGATGTTTGTTGGAAGTGCTCGCATAATGTTCCTAAACAATAAATTGTTTGAACATGGAATATGTAATGGGACAATAGGAGTAATCACCAAGGTAATTGATGATGATAATGTTGAGGTTACTTTACCCACAGCTAACAATATTGTAAAGATAAATGTTCAAAGAGAAATCACATACTTCACTATCAATGGAATACCAGCATCCAGGAGGCAATTCCCAATTCAGAATGCATTTGCACTCACTGTTCACAAGACACAAGGCCTTACACTACCACACTCAACTGTATCCATTGATGAAAATATGTTCACCACAGGACAGATATATGTGGCGATGAGTAGGGCACCTTTGTGGGGGATTCTCTGGATATATTATCTTTTGATTTTGATTACATAGACATGTTATTGATGAGTACAAAAGGTTAAATAAATCTCTTGAACCAAAATGGCTTAAAAGAATAGATGTAATAAAAAAATACCTGTAAAAAAAGTATGTAAAAAAAAAATCATTAGAAAATTTGTTTTCAATTAATTATCAACATAATAAATAAATAAAATTGTTTTTCATTTTTCACCTATCAAAAGATTATGCAATCAGAAATTAATATATTAAGACAATCATGATTGTTATATTTGTGTATTAGTCCTGCTCTAAGCCTAAAAGCACCATCGTTTTTGAATGATTTAAATACTGTTAATCATGAAAAATAAATGATTTGTGAAGAGGAAGTAAAAAAAGGAATATTGCTTGGAGGTATTTTAAACAAGAAGGTGATGTTGTGTAATATCAAGAAACTATAAAGCAAAAGGATAAAAGAAATTATGGGAAGCGTAAATGAAAATCTTGATGGCTCACTTTGCTTCCTCATTTGTAAACTTGTTAATTGAATGCTTTTTTCCAAATCACATGATCCTATTTTAACAATAATAATAATATATATATCAAAGATTATTTTTTAATTCTACTAAAATATTAATAAAATTATTTTTTAAATTCTACCAACATATAACCAAAAATTTTTTTCAATAATTATAAGAATAACTATAATATCAATACATTATGAAAATAACTATAAAATACAATAATGTAGCGTTAACATTTATGAAAATATAAATTTTAAATTTTGATTGACAAAGATTTTGTTGTAGAATTGTTTAGAATCATAGGTTTCAATGGTTCCTGTAATTTTGAAGATAATGGTGATGAAGGTGTTGACGAGAAGAATAAATCAATTTCATGTAAATTTGGTTGTTCTTGTTGTTTTTGTTTTTGTGATAATTCCTTTTCAGCATTATCATCGCCTCTACTAACATTATTATTATTATCATCATCATTATCGTTATTATCATTGTTGTTATTGTCATTACCATCGTTGTCATTACTATGATCATCATTAGTATTAACACTAATAGTTGTATTATTATTATTAGTATCAACATTAATGTTAGTATTAATGTTTGCTGTAGCAAATCCTTCAACATTGAAAACTTCTAATTCTAATTTATGATATGTTTTAATTAATAAATATTCCACGTTTGAAAAATAATCATTGATTGTCATTCTTATTGATGATAATGCTTCATTATGATTCAAGGTTTTAGGTTCTTTCTTGTATGGATATTTTGTACTATGAGTGTAACACTATCAAGATTATTAATATTATGAGATGAGTAAATAATGTTTACACCTTATATAATAAATGAAATATATTTAAATACTCACACGTCTCACAAAGCTAGGTCTCAGACTCATCATCATTTGTCTCTCATCAATAAATCTACACTCGACAATTTCACTAAACGGTATCACGATCTCTTCCCTCATTTTATGAATACATATGGAAATTTGTTGTGAATCATATCTAAATAGTAATCCAATATCTGAGAAACTAGAAGCTGTCAATTGGTTATTTCCGGATAATGCTGATTTTGAAGACGAAGATGATGATTGTAATTGTGGTAGAGGTGCTGGCAGTGAAGACGAATTTCTTGACCAAAAGTGGATACGATTTAATTGGGCTTTGATTAATTTGTTTTTATCTTCATAATAAACTGATGAAAGTGATGATAGAGGTGCTGGAAATTCGCCAAGTTCAGACCTATTATTATTATTAACCTTTTTCATAATATTTTTATTAGTATTCATTACCATCGTCATAATATTGGTTCGAAAAAAAACGCGTTAAAAAATATAATAGGAAAAAGACAATCAACAAATCAAAAAATAAAATTCTTTGTGGAGATATTTGGATTTCACAAAAAACTATATTGAAATTTTCTTTGTTTCCATATATAGTAATGATTAACAAACAAATAAATTTTCGTGCTGCAATTTTCATGGTTATAAAATGATAAATAATAAAATAATTACTGAAATTTTTCATTTTTCTTTTTTCTCAAAAAGATTAAGAAATTGGCTGGTCCTTAGAAGATATTGATTTATATAATCATTAGTGTCTTCTTTTTTATACAATTTCTTAATCATTCATTCATTCATTCATTCATTCATTCATTCATTCATTTAACTCGTTTGTCTTTTTTTCTTTCGCCCATATTTTTTAAAAAAATGAAATTCAATATTAGTAAAATCAACCTCAATAAATTTAAGTGGCTGAAAGAATACGATAATAAATATGAAAATTTATTCTTAATCACTTATATAATACACATGATTGGATATTCCATAATGTTGTTAAGTTTTTTAATACTTTCACGTAAATTAAATCACAACTCAGCTTTCTTCCTGATGGTCTTGTTTCCTATAAGTTCAGGATTTATAGTTGTAAATATTTTATTGATATATATATTGTTTGACACGGAAAAAATCTATGCTCAACTTCTCAAAGTTTTCAATGATAACTAATTTTTTTATTTATTTTTCTTTACTTTTCCAAAAAAGTTTCACGAGAAAACAATATTACACAGCATTGTATATACTATAGTAAATATGGTCCCGATAATAATGGGGATATTCGTCTTTAATTTCATGCCGAATTATTGTGGCGCTAATTGTTCATCATTCAAACTAAGCGGCATCTTTCTATTATCATTCTTGTCATTGTTACAAATCTGGTATCTTTGGATTATTTATTATTTATGGAAAGAGAAGTAAGCGAGAAATTAATTATTTTTGGAAGAAAGTCTAATAATTATTTTTTAAAATTTTTCACACGAAATATTTATTTAGAATATGGCCCATAGTTTCCGAATATGAATTGACTAAAAACGTGAAAATAAAACGTAAGCAACCCAATAATAATAAACTAAAAAGTGGCCATATAAATCATACAAGTTCTAATGGCTAAACGATATTTTTAAAATTTAGAAATGCATGCAAAATATCAACGGCAATTTCCAATTCTTCATGGTATAGTAATCTTGACAGGAATGTGGTCTGTTATCTATTCGATTCTAGAATGGGATGAATCATTAAATAACCTTAAAGCTAGTTCTCGACCTTTCGATTTTTTGAACCTGATTCCGTTCAACGCTTTACTAGTTGTCTATTTGATTTTAATGGTTATTGGCGTAAGTACTTATATATATATATATATTATATTAATTTTTTCATACCATAACTAACACTACCTGTTATTAATATAGGTTAGAAATGAAAATAATAGAATGTTGGTCACGTTTCATATAAGTAATTTATGTCAAGCCATTTTTATGGGATGGTGGACATTTAGATATTGTGATAATTATTATGAATCTGTACAAGAATGTATTAATTTTGATATATTTTTTCAAACTAATCTTGTCATAGGTAAATAAATTAGTACTTTTTTTTATTAAATTTTTTTTTTTTTTTTTAATTTAATTTTCTATGTTTTTATACAGTGATAATTACATTGATTTTTATGGGTCTAGCAAGTTATAATACTTTAATCTGTCAATTAAATTTTGGAAATAATCTTGGATTTTATAGTGAGTGTCTTTTTCCGTTCATATGTGTGTTTGTTGATTCATACATATATTATTTTATATCAAGAAAAAAAAATAATTAAATTATTTTTACTTTTTAGTTAAATATGAACCAACACCAGATGAATTTCAATATAAAAATAATGATCCTGATTTTTTTATTACAAAAAATGCTCATAACTATAGCTATAATAATAATATTGTTTGATTGTAACATGATTATAAATAATAAAAATGACATTGAGGAAATAATATATTTTGTTTTTTTTTTTAATGCTAAGTGAGGCCTTGTGACCACGTTTATTCATTTGATAATCTAATATATAATTATTTAAAAGTTTTACCCTTCAAGAAATATTACATTATTAATAAGTTATATTATTTTAGTTTTAATTAATCAATTCACAATTATTTGGAAAACTTCAAATTCATCATATCTACTATTATCTACTAGATTGATGTCATTATAAGTCCTTGGAACTCTATTTCTATTACCAATACTAATACTACCATCAGTTTTAAACCTAATATTTTTGACATCACCAAAAATAGGTAAAAAATAAGGGGTACAACAAATTGCATGATCATAATCATAATTAACAACATAACTAAATTGTGCAGTATTAAAATCATTTCTATTACTAATGTTAAATATAAAACTGTCAGTTGTTCTTTTGAACTCCCCAAAAAAATTACCTCCATTCCAATTAAGTGGATTATAACCACCAATTATCTGATCAGAATTTTGCATTCTAGCAACTACAAGAGTACAGTTAATATTATCACATTTTTGATGGAATATAGCTTCATTTAAACCATCTCTACTACTACGATATAAAAGCTTAAACTCATATTTGACATCCCTTAATGAAGTGTATGGTGTGTTTTTTTTATCAATCCAACTAGCAAAAAGCAAAGTAAGCTTTTGATTGATTATCAATGATTCAATTTTTGAACTTTTTAATTCAATATTTGGATTTCTTGATGGTAATAATTTTAAAGCATATTGTTGTCTATTAGGAACCAAATAATAACATAATAAGTTGTTCCAGAAAACCTCAGAAAAAAGTTTTTGGTATGGCATAACTTTATCAGTAAAGTTTTCATTGGTGATATCCTGAAATCGAATCAAAGGAATAATATCTTCTAGTATATTTTTTAATTCTTTATAATTAACTTCACTCCATTCCCACTTTGAAATATTTTTTTTTTCCTCCAAATTTTTAATTTGTCTGATTCCCCACTGAATGATATGATCCCAAACATCAATTTCATCTACTTCTAAATCATCTTTTTCTAATAAAAACTTAAGCATAGGTTTATCAATATTTTTAAAATCCAATGATTTTAAAAATAACTCTGGTTTGTCATTAATTACTTTTTCAAAGTAAACTCTAAGTGTATTAAATGATTGATGTATTGATGAAATTTGATAAAGATAATATAAGTAATGTTGAATCCATTTTTCATTTGTAATAATGTAGTTTTGTAATTCATCAACTAGTTCATTAAAATCTAATTCATCACTTGCCACAAGAAGCTCAACAATTTCAAAAAAATTTAAATTATTAATATTAATAATTCCATTATAAATATACCTTGAAAAAAAAAAACAATATAATAATAAAAGTAATGTTAATAATTTAGAAATTTTTTCAAAAAAAAAAAAAATCATTTAATAAATTATTTAACAAATTAAACTAAATAAATAAATTAATCTTACATTAAAAGAACTTCAAATACACTTGAAGATATATTTTCTTTTTCAAATAAAATGATACCATTTTCAGACCTTTTAATCCAGTTATTTGATAAGGCTGCCTTAAAGTATGAAGATCTTGCTTTCAAGATGTTTGAATGAGCCTTAAAAATTTTTTTGTCTACTCCAATTTTAATTTCTACATCATAAAAATTTGAATCAATCAATAAATTTGTTAGATCATTTACAAGCTTACTGATATGTTTTAAAGGTAAAGCATCTTTGTTGGAATCAATAAGATTACTAATCAGTGTTGTGATATTTTCAAAAGATGAAAAACTTATTGATGACATTTTTGGAGAAATTTATTATTATTATTGAACAGTGTCACATGTAATCAATTTATTTCTTAATTTGTCAATAGTAATTTTAAATAAGCGCACAGAGAGAAGGAGGAAAAGGAAACCAAAATAAATTATATATAACGGATAATGAATAATATGCAGGAAAGAAAGTGCAATCAATAAATTACATTTGTATCAAGGAATTTGGAAAATCAAACTTTTTTGATATACAGAAAATCATTTAAGATAAATTCAAAAATGATCTAATTGGAGCTCTAATTCTTTCTTTGGTGGGAATCAATGATTTTATCACAACAAATTTTTTCACTTTTAATAGAACATTTCTGGAGGAAATGAACACAGAAACAACAATGAATGTCCGAGGCCTTTGCAAAGAATTTATTAAATTAGTTTACATATTTGCTATCCTAATCTTAAAGTACATTAGTTGTCGTCATCATCACTACCCATTATCATATCTTCTCATGCAATTTGGAATGTAGCACAGTATCTGATGTTTTTGATTCTAACTTTTTATCTTATAATGATAATTTTTTATGGTTATAAACTCTGATATGTCAATTAAATTTTGGAAATAATTTTAAGAAAAAATAAATAAAATTTACTTTTAGTTAAATATGAACCAACACCACAGATGAATTTGATATAAAATAATGAACCTGATTTTTTTATTACAAAAAAAATATTCAATTTAAAAATAATTAATACTATTATGTAGTAGTTTAAATATTACACATAACTATAATAATAAAAAAATAACATTGAATTGTTATTCAAGAAATACTATTTTAATTTCATAATTATTTGAAAAACTTCTAATTCGTCATATCTACTACCATCTACTATATTGATGTCATTATAAGTCTCTCCTCTATCAGTATAACTAAAATTAGTACCAATACTAATAGTACTATCAGTTTTAAACCTAATCTTTTTGACATCACCAAAAACAGGTAAAGAACCATTGGCACAATAAATTGCATGATCATAATCATTATTAACAACATAACTAAATTGTGCAGTATTAATATCATTTATATTACTAATGTTAAATATAAAACAGGATAATTCATGAATTACAGAATTAATGGAAGGAGGGACAAAAAACGTTATTTGGATTCGATTATGATAATTAATATCAAATTTCTATTTAGAAAACCAATATATTGAAAAACTTTAGCATTTAAACTTTAACATTTAAATTTAACATTAAATTTTAACATTAAAAAATATGCATTAATAATAATATTATTATGCATGCACGTTATCACTTCTAATATACTAATGTCTTGTTAAAAAAAATATCAAACCGCAGTTTAAACAGGATCTCGCATTACATCCAATTATTTCAAAAAAATCTGATTATCTTTCCAAATCAAGTAAAGGATTTCCAAGTTAATCCATGTTTTCAAACATAGTAAACATATTGAACTTTAAATTGATATATCTCAAAGTTCTGTGCAGCTAAAATCTAATCGTCTGTAGATAACTTAAGGTAAACAAAATGATGATTAGATTTCTTCAAAAATGTTCTCTCTATCTTATTTTGATATATAGTTTGTTGGAAAACCCAACCATAAAAAGTGAAGATATGTAAATCATGTGATTCTGTCGAGGAATTAGTTTTATTGGACGATAAGCTTTTAATAAAATATATTAATATATCTATATATAATATACTGATATGTGGTCAAAAAAATTTTTCCCCAATATTGCGTCATTTTTAAAATTATGAATTAAAATTTCCCCCAATTTTATTTTTTTACATCATCATATACTCTTATTTTACTGGTCGAAAAAGGACAATTAGCGCCAGTCAGCTAAAAATTAACACATGATATTGATTGTGTTTCCCGATTTTTAGTTGATCAACTACCAAAAAGTGACAAACTGCTATACTGATTTATTACAGGTTTATATTGGTATTTTCTAGACCTTGTCATTAGATCTAATTCTTCACTCCCAAATAACTATAATAGAATAAAATATATATTATAATTTTATTTACCTGAATCCTGATGAAGATGTTGTAAAAGGTCAAAAAATATTAACAATAGAAGAACAATTACTAAAAAGAATTATGGCTAAAATTATCAATACAAAGTATGAAACTTCAACAATTTGTAGTGAATCAACAAAAACAACAAATTTGTCATCTTCTGGATCTAGTTATTCTATGGTTGGAGCTGAAGTTTGGGTTGGATCAAAACCATCATTTATACCTTCCAAAATTGGATTTGCTGTTCCCCTCCTCCACCTACATCCTTTATCGTCGTCATCATGTAAAATCAATAAATTAAATATTATTTATACGTTTTACAAATTTCTCTCATATTTATAATAATAGAGAATTACAATGATAAAAATTTTCTTAATTATTTAATTATTAACACAAATAAAAGATTGAATGCTCGTCGTGTCACTATTGCTTGCCAAAACTCGTAATTTTTTTCGCAGATTTTTGAAATCGTTTCCATATTTCAATCAGATCTTCAGTTTTTTCTTATTCTGGCATATTAGAGTAGTATATACGGCAGAGGTTTAATACCG